GTAATTAAATTCCCAAAAATATATACAAATACGGTATTATCTTCAACAAGCGATTCACCTACAAATTCAATATTGACCTGGTAATACTAGTAGAGTTTAAAAATGATTCTATCGTGTCATTCCGTTTGCACTTCATTGCTAAAATGTAATACCTATTTTATATCATTCCTTACACCATAAGAAAGCAAAATCGCCTGGTCGTCAAAAAATCGTAGTTAGGGGTGGTTTTCCAAAAAATAGCAATATTTTTTTTTTGCTTAATTTACATCTACACAACATTTTTAATCATCTGCAGAAGGTTTGTTTCAAAATTTCAAGAGAAAGTGTTTTATTTTTAATTTTAAATTATCTACCCAACACGCTCTTATATGGAGTTCCTTAATATAAAACGGCTCGCGCTGAAACATCAAAAATGCAATATCATTTACACCGTGAAAACTCAAGAATGAAAATTCTAATCAAAAAATATATTCTATAAACGTTGTAGAGCAAATATCAAGGATTAAAATACTTTTTAGAAATTAAAAATCTAATAAATAGTTTCGTCAAAAAACTGTAAAAAGTAGAAGCATGTCCTGACGACCGCTCTCTGACGCGAAGATGCGGCGATGGTTGAAATTTCCTTGGCACGCTGTTGTATCTACATGATACAGTCGTCCGTATGTATTTTTGAGCCTCGTAGGTGGCTTTTCGTTTAAAACAGCAAAAGTTACCTATGTTGTTACTATAGCGAGGCATAACGTTGTGATAATCAAAGATATATCATGAGAATATTATAGTGGTTTTTTAGTTTATGTATTTTGAGTATTTTTTTTTAAGTTTCATTTAATAAATTAATAACAGTTAGATATTTACAAAACACGAATATAATCATTTTAAAAATCTCTTTATTAATAATTATTGCTGGTAACAATATTTTATGCATTTCTGGTAAAATTCGCATTAAAATAGTCGGAAGATAGGACGCTTTACCTAATATTTTTTTTATAATTAACATTTAACCTTTTTATAATTTATTAATAACGTGTAACTAGACATAATATAGGTGCTGGAGTCGGTGTTTCGTAGTAGAATCTTCTATTTCTGTGAATAAATAAGATTGGCTTACAGCATTTAGTCAGACTCGGAATTTTCTTCACTGTCAGATAACATATTCTGGGAAGCTTTTATGTTTTTTAGGTCTTTCTTTACTTTATTTGCACATTTAATTTGAGCCATACAATTGCAGGACCCAATGCAACAAATTTATTTTTTCTTGCAGGAACATTGTGGCCCGTTGCAATATATAAAAAAATATTTAAATTAATAATATACTTGTAATAATAATAAATAATATACTTTTTTACAATTGCAAGTATTTCAAGTAGAAGTGTCCTCAGCTAGTATTGATTCCGTACTTAAAATTGGTACCAGTTTTCCATTAACCATTTTCCAGCCACACTCTGATACATCTGGTAAAGATGGTATGGGAATCGTACTGTTCAGCCATGTTTTAGTCTGGTAGTGTACATGAAGACGACAATGCTGTTTTAAAGAGTCTAAAGTTGGAGGTAATTTGCTAATCGGCTTTGAGGACGCTAAAATCACTCTAAGGTCGTTTATGCAATAAATATTTTCGTTATTTATATAAAATCGCATTACAAACTTAACCATTTTATTAAAATCGTCTTCTTCTAAATTGTCATTTATGCCAACATTACTAAGTAGATTGTGGTGTGATAAAAACACTTTCCAGCATGTTTTTTGCCCATTCCTACAAATTGACTGGTTGTATCACAACCTGTCAGTGCATGAAACGTTGGTAGACATTTTGCCATTGAACTATCCATTTTCATTTCATGGATTGCTATAAATCTTTCAGTTTCTTTTCTTCCAACTTTTATCCAAATTTCCGGCGTCAGTATATCTTTGAAATGGGCCAATAGTAACAAATAATCCTTTCATTTTAGCAGACAATATATGTAATATAATCCTTGTGTCTGCCTCTTTGTGTTTCGCAATTAACAAGTCAGTTTCTAAATTATAGTTTGCTTTATACTACAGAATATCCAAGAAGTCCTCCGCTGGTGACAAATTTAACTCTGAAATTAAGAGAATAATAATACAACTGTTGCATTTTATTAGCAATCAAATGGATACATAAATGCCACTGTTGGCGTCAGTTTTATATTCCCTCTCCTCTCTTATGCAATTCTTTATCGACAAATATTCGTAATGGTCCAGATCAAAATCAATTCGTTCGGCATTCTAGTTGTTCTTGAATACAATGGGCCTTTAAGATGTTTGCATGTTTTCCAAACGATTTGGCGTTAGTAGGTTTGCCAAGTCCCTGTATTAATGCCATTCCATCGAATACGTGGCAAATTTTACCACAATTTCCCGATGGTAAATCTTTGCATCTTCTAGTAAATTTTTCTATAATTTTTCTAAGTTAGACTTGTTTGAAGGGGTAGATAATATTCCTGTAGGTGCCAGTCACATTGAATAAGTCTTTAATTCATGTTTAAAAATATCTTCATATTTATTATTTCTTTCCATTCTTTTGCTGCCAATATTTTCTGCAAAAGTTCTTGACCTTTTTGGAAAGTTTTTTCTTATCAACAGCAGCTACTTTAACGCTAGTGCGCTGTAGTGTTTGAATTTTTTTTTATTGGTTTATAAAGGTCAGGAGTACCAACTACTTCTAAAAATTTTCTTAAAGCTTGTTAGCCAGTTTCATGCACATTTAATAAAGAAGTTTAGATAGTATCAGATGCAACTTCATTAGTTGAGACAACTAAAAGGCGAGCATCGCTTTTGGAAAACACATTTTTTATATACCCATTTCTAGGCATTATTACTACTGTGTATTACAAATAGCATATGTAGGAACTTACCTGTATTTATTAATAAAATGCAAAGCAGCTTAAATATTATAATCGAATAATTGTGTAAAACAGTTAACAACAGGGATAGTTATTGTAACTAAAAGTTGAGAATCTCAATAACGTAAAATGTTAAACAATATATAATAACAATATGTTAAACCATAAAAACATCAACGATTTACTAATTTGAAATAGGTATGCTATAATGGTAATGGAGCACACATGTACCTTCTAAGTAGGTACCTTTTACTTCGCATCAGAGTGCGGTTGTCACGACATGTTTTTAGATTTTACAGTTTTTTGACGAAACTATTTATTAGATTTTTATTTTCTAAGAAGTATTTTAATCCTTGATCTTTGCTATACAACGTTTATAGAAAGTGTTTTTTGATTCGAATTTTCATTCCTGTGTTTTCACGGTGTAAATGATATTGCATTTTTGATGTTTCAGCGCGAGACGTTTTATATTAAGGAACTCCATATAAGAGCGTGTTGGGTAGATAATTTAAAATTAAAAATAAAATACTTTCTCTTGGAATTTTGAAACAAAACTTTTGCAGATGATTAAAAATGTTGTGTAGATGTAAATTAGGCAAAACAAAATATTGCTATTTTTTGGAAAACCACCCCTAACTACCCCCTGCACACTACGATTTTTTGACGACCAGGCGATTTTGCTTTCTTATGGTATAAGGAATGATATAAAATAGGTATTACATTTTAGCAATGAAGTGCTAACGAAAATCGCTTTTAGAAGGAATTTCTTAGCGTTTAATCTCTACTATACCACTTAAATTCGGTGTTTCAAGGCTATATGACGCTGCCCTTACATGACCGTTTGTGATATTTTGGCTTGTATTTGTGGTTTATTATTTAATTAAACGGTGAAAGTGGCATTTTATTTTTAGTTTTGTGTAGTGTTAACTTAAATCCTAGGTACAATAAAAGACATTTTTATATTGGCTAATGAAAATGTAATAAATGTATTTAGCAGCTGTTATATTTATTACAAGATTTATGTCTGAAATCTAAACCTACCCAAGAACTATGTAAATAGAGAGCCTGTATATTTATATACAGGCTACCCAGCGACGGGGAGAAATTATCGGTATCAGACAAAACAATGAATGATTTTTTATTAAAAAATTGTTGAAAATAGTAAACAGGTTATGATTTTTCCATTTAAAATATTTTGACAGTTCTGTTATTTCCGTTTTATTTTAAATGAGATGCCACTTCTATTATTCCAGATACCGATGGAACATAAAATATTGCTTATTTGGAATATGTGCCTTTACATAACACTGATAACATCAGAGACCGTGTTTTAGTCGGGTATAATTTAAAATAAAAAATTTGAAAATGAACCCTATTAAATTGTACCTTTACCTAACATTTATGGCATCACTGGACGAGTTGGCATCGGGTAATTTATACTTCATGATTTTTTTACAAAATTTTCAAATTCTTTATATTTATTACTTAAAACTGTAACTTAATTAAAACACTTGGAGTAGTTATAAACAACAAAATCTAGTGATTCCTTGGTTAGCTGGATGCTTCCATATTTGAAGTTTTGCTATTTACGGAAAGCCAATTTTAAAGAACATATTCGAAATAAAGTATCATCAAATCAAGAAGAGATTTTTTTGAACCACATAAGAAACACTTTTTATTCATGTTTTACTATTTTTTTATTTCTCAATTACAAATACTTAATACTCAGCATGTGTTGTCACAAAATAATTTTCAATTTTCAGTCGCATGTAAAAGAGTATGTGCATTGGGTTACATTCAGCGGACATGTCGCGAGCAGCTGCTATGTTGTATCCTGCTCTATCACACGGACTTTGCACGTTCTACTTTCTTTCTCGCACATATATAATTGCTTCAATTTTAGAACTTTAAAGCATGCCGATAATATTCCATCAACAATAATTTAATGATAGAAATAATGATGTATTATCCAGTCAGGTGTAAGAAAGAAAAAATCTTCAGGACTAACATTTCACCCGTCAATGTATACAAAAAAACATCTGTTTTCTAGAAATTTATTACTTTTGAAAAATTAAAATATTATTTCCGATTCTGTAAAAAATATTATCCTCTGATTTATATTTTCCTAAAACTTACCAAGCTTAAGGTCTTCTTCTAATATTCTTTCAATAACAGGTATTGGAGACCGAAACCTTAACATTTCTTTCACAACTTGGTCCAAATATTTCATTGAGTATACATTTTCGTGGGTTAGTTTGCTGTAATCGTTGTTTACAGTTGATTTTATTTCTTCATATAATTTTTCTTGTACATCCAAACGTTTAGATAATTCGAATAAAGTAAAAGATAAAGCTGTGGTTGTAGTGTCGTATCCCTAAAAAAATTGCATATATTTACCTTAACTATTTAAATATGATTAATTAATAATACTAACCGCAAACAAAAAATTATTTGTTTCTTCTTGGACACCTTCATCAGGAAGTTTCGCGTTGTGCATGAGTTGGTTTATTAAACTAGTATTTTTCTTAATTTCAGGTACATTTCCTACATCTACATTCATATTTTCGCACTCATCACGTTTATTTTGGATAATTATCTTTGACATCCCATCTATGACATCCAAAGAACTCTTATGCGTTTTGAAATCCTCGGAAAAAAGTTTAAACAGAATATCGAAACGTTTCCAAGCTGAGAAAGCCCTTGTAGAAACGATTTTTGTGTATTTGTCGATAGCATTAATGTAGTCTAGGCTTTCATCGTTTTGTACATTCATTCTTGTTCCGAACGATGATTCTGGAATGAAAAAAGTATTATTGTGTCCTGTTACCGTGTGTTAGATCAAATTTAAGGAGGTCCTTTCGCCACCAATGTTAAATAAAAAATATTAGATTATGACTAAAATTAATTTTTTTCTAATAGTTGAAGTCCTAATTTATCTAATAGTGAATTTTTAACTATACCTTACCGTGCAAATTTTTGAGAAATTTTTTTTTAAAAATGTGAGTATTTGTACAGTGTCTTATGAGAAAGTAAGACCTTAATAACAATTTTCGAATTATAATTAAGTATACTATTATTTATTGATTGATATTGATTGTAAAAATAAGGTTTTTGAAATATTTAGATTTCGTTTTTTAAAATAAAATATATAGGTTACCGTGGAATTTTTTTAGAAATTAATTTTAAAAAATCACAAAAAATTTTCAACTAGGTTACTTGAAATTTTTTTTAATATTAATTTCTCAATAAATTCCACGGTAACCTATATATTTTATTGTAAAAAACAAAACCTAAATATTTCAAAAACCTTATTTTTAGTTTTTTTTCCCTTCCATCTAATCAATAAACAATAGTATAATTCGAGAATTGTTGTTGAGGTCTTACTTTCTCGTGAGACACTAAAAATATTCACATTTTTAAAAAAAAAATTCTCAAAAATTTGCACGGTAAGATATAGTTAAAAGTTCAGTATTAGATAAATAAGGACTTCAACTATTAGAAAAAAATTAATTTTAGTCATAATCTAATAACTTTTTTTTAACATTGGTGGCGAGAGGGGTGGCGAAAGGACCTCCTTAATAAAATTATGTACCTTTTGAATATTAGCAACATTTAATTAACAATTGACTAATATGATTGTCTTCTCTGTGAATCTATATCTTTTTTTGTAGTATTTCAAGAACTTGATCCTGCGTGATGAGAACAATTGCATTTGTTATTCGTTAATGATAAAAACATTGAATTATTTTGATAAATTTCGAATTTAAACACACCACTGCTTCAGAAGTAATTTAAAGCAACGTTGTAAATAGCAGAAGGTTTAGGTACTACTAATGATCTCTGTTACTACTAATTTTTAGTATTTATTTTTGAATAATAGTGTGTACTTGATTACCTGCAATAACTTCGAAAGAAAATTTTGATATGAATTCTCTTGCATCTATTTCGACACCTTTGTCAGCTTGTTCACCAAGTCTTTCTATCAAAGTGTTTGAAGATCTTTTGAAAAGTGTAAAAAAGTCTTTGAGTACGCTGAAATGAAAAGATGGAGTGCACAATTTTCTTCTTTGTTTCCATTTATCGCCTGAACAATACAACAAAATGTTTAATATTTAATAAAGGTACTGCTTGAAGTAATAATAATAATATTTGCTGGAAAACGGACAATTGGAATAAAAAAATCTATTGAATTGATTTTATGTGTTGTCTTACTAAAATATATATAACCTATTATTATATAAAATTCTAACCTGCACTAACAATTAAACCATCTTTTAACCAAGGTTTTGCCATATCGTATGATTTAGATCTCTTAATGTGAACATTGGATTTCATTACTTGTTCTATGAGGTTTGCATCACATGTTATAATATGAAGAGATTCGCCAATGTATAATTTACAAGTTTTTCCATATTTTCCAATGAGCTCGTCAAACATATGCTTAAAATCTGAAAATAATGAGAAATATATTTTGTTTTTTTTTTATTTTTATTCCTGTACAAATTAATATTTTTTATGATTCAATATTTTAAATTAAAGATATGTTGACCCTGTAGGTTTAGCATGGATTCCCAACGGGAGCGATACCGCCCCCTAGTGGGCGATGGGACTTTCTGTGGGGGCTGTAGCGGATCCAGAGGCAAATGGAAGGCCTTAAGACAATCAAGAGGGGTGACGCCCTAGACTATAAAAAATAATTATTTTTAATAAAAAAAAGTTTATAAATATCTATAGGGTGTTTCATAATATATGCGCAGGACTTTCGGACGTGATAGCTCGTCCAAAAATATGAAAAAACGTTTCTATTAACTTACCCTCTAAAATGCACCATTTTCGAGATACAGGGTGTTGAAAATGAAAAAAAAAAAAAAAATTCTACGCCACTGGAAAAAGTACGGTTTTGAGACGCCCATTTGAACCGCCAATGTTCTGCACAAAAAAAGGTAATCATGGTCATACGCTCTAAAGTCGACCGTTTTCGATAAAAATCAAATTTTGTTTCATCAAGTAGGTTTTAAATTTCAAAATAAAAGCTACCTTCTGTCAAAATAACAATTAGTTTCTGCCTGCAAAAGATAAATTTGTATTATAAAATTTAAAATGAATTACACAAACGCTGAAATATGCGAAATGCATTACCTACCTTTACAGATTGGCGGAAGGTAATACGGCAGAAGTAAGGCGGTTGTTTCAAGAAAGACATCCTGATCGCCAAGTACCACACCATAACTTGTTTCAACGCATTCATCAACGACTATAGGAAAATGGAAGTTTTAAAAAGAATACTGCTGATAGTGGGCGGCCTATGAAAGTTGCAATTCCCCAAGAAGAGGCTATCCTCAACGAAATTGAAGAAAATCCGACCACAAGTACCAGACAAATAGCTCACAACTTAAACTTATCTCACTCGACGGTGTGGAGAATTTTGAAAAGACAACTTCTGTATCCCTATCATATCCAAAAAGTACAAGCCTTATTGCCAAGAGATTTTCCGCCAAGATTGGCTTTTTGTAGATGGATGCAAGACAAAATAGCTCAAAATCCTCGGTTTGGAGCCGAAGTTCTGTTTACCGATGAGGCATCTTTCTCGAGAGATATGGGTTGAAGAAAATCCACATGAAATTGCAGAACGCCGTCATCAGCAACAATTTTCCGTGAATGTTTGGGCTGGCATCGTCGGTGACAATTTGATAGGCCCATATTTTTTGCCGAACAGATTAGACAGTGCAGATTATCGACAATTTCTAGAAGAAGTACTACCGGAGCTGCTGGAAGATGTACCGCTTTACGTAAGGCAAAACATGTACTTTATGCATGATGGAGCTCCGGCCCACTTTAGTTTGCTTGCTTGCCAATACTTGGACGACGAATACCAAGAGCGTTGGATCGGTCGAGGAGGTCCACATTCTTGGTCCTCGCGATCACCCGACCTCAATTGTTTAGATTTTTTTTTTTTGGGGCCATCTCAAAACCCTAGTCTACGCTACTCCAGTTGATAATGTTGACCAATTAAGAGATCGCATTGTTGCATCTTGCGACATAATTCGGAATACTCCGTGAATTCTCCTGCGTGTTAGACAGACAATGCGTCGAAGAATTGCTGGGTGCATTGAAGCTAACAACGGCGGACATTTCGAACATTTAATTTAACTGTTTATTATTTGTTACTGTTTTTTTTTTTTTATTTCCAAAAATTGACCATGTATTTCAACATTAAAATTTGATTTTTCTCGAAAACGGTCGACTTTAGAGCGTACGACCATGAGTACCTTTTTTGTGTAGAAAACATTGGCGGTTGAAATGAGCGTCTCAAAACCGTACTTTTTCCAGTGGCGTAGAATTATTTATCGATTCTACACAAGAATAACCCATTTTAATGTATGTTTAATCTCAATAACTTAAAAATATACTGACAATTAGTTTGACAGAATTGTCGCTTATTTAAAATTTTAAAAATAATAGCAGTCGATTGATCAAAATATGAACGGATTGAGTGCTAGCACTCAATGTTTTGTTAAATAATTAAACATTGACTTTCCATGTGAGATATAAAGGACTTTTTCTCCCCCTTCACCTTAAAATTATCATTATTACTTCCCTCAATATAAGGGAAGTATTGTAATCGTGAAAAAGTTACCCTCCCAGATTATTCCAGATTTTCAAGTTTCAGGGTTCCTAGATTACGAAAAACATGTTTCCCCATTCCGTCGGTCTGTCTGTGTCTGTCTGTCGTCTGTCTGTTGGCGCAATAGCTCAAAAATGGCTTTATATATAGAAAAACTTCAAATTTTGTATGCAGGTATGGTTCCTTTCTGTCTTAAAACCAGTTATATACAAGGGGAGCCGTTGAAAAAATCATTATTTTAAAAAGTCGACAGATTTCGACTAAAATTGGTATCTGAGTATTTTAGAAGTTAAAGATAACAAATCCTAAATTAGTTTTTAAAAATTTAAAATGGCCTTGAAAGAATCGTATTTAATCGAAAAAGGTCTCCCTTGATGGAAATAATAAAAAACGTCCATTTAGTAACTGGACCATTTTAAAAGCAGGCAATCAGTTCCTTGTTTTAACAATTTCGTTTTTATTGTAGTTGTTTTTAGTATATACAAATGTATAGTGTCGATATACACTGCTCAACAATTGAAGTGGATATTTTAAAATTTTTTTTTTTTTGTTAATAATTTAAAATAAAATAAAATAATCATGTAACATAGAAAACATTTTATTGATTATATATATATAACTGGAAAGAAAAACCATTTAATTAAAAAAATTACAGGAAAATTAAAAAAATTGAAAAAGTAACAACAAAAAATTCTTGCATTGCGCACTTTACAAAATCCCTATAAAAAATATTAATATCTTGTTGGACCTCCCCTGGCTCATCTTAGTGCTGTCGCCCTTTTCGGCATGCACTCTATTAAATTATTGATAATTTGCTGAGGTATGGTTTCCCAAATTACCTGCAACTCATTACCCAACTGTTCTAAGGTTTGAGGAGGCTGTTGACTTCGGTTTAATCGCCTAGACATTTCAACCCAAACATACTCAATACAATTCATATCTGGTGAACAGGGCGGCCAATCCATTCTTGTAATTTCATGATGTTCTATGCGATCGTTTACAATTCTCGCACGATGAGGACGAGCATTATCGTCAATAAAAACAAATCGTTCACCTATTGCACCAAAAAATGGTACAATTACCGGCTCTATAACCCTGTCCCGATATCGTATGGCAGTTATTGTCTCATTAGTTAAGACCACTAAATCAGTGCGACCATTATAACATATGCCTCCCCAGACGAAAACTGATCCACCACCAAAAAGAGTTGTTGGGGCCATTAAATTTTCATTGTATCGCTGTCCTCTTTCTCGCCATACCAATATTCGGCCATCACACGCACAGAAACGAAATCTGGACTCGTCGGTAAAGAGGCAGTGCCTCCAATTTTGAAAAGTCCAAAAACTGTGTTCTTCCGCCCACCGATATCGGTATGCACGCTGCTCCGCCATCAGTCTTGGGTGTGTTGCGCGACGTCTAGCTCTTAAGTTACATGCATGCAACCTTCTTCTGATAGTTTGACCAGAAATTACTCGTCCAGTAGCTTATCTAAAGAAGGTGTTAATTCTTAAAGCCGTAAATGTTCGGTCTCTTCTCGCAGTCAGGACTATAAAGCGGTCTTGAGCACGAGTTGTAGCTCGTTCTTGTCTTCCCCATGTTTGTATTCTGCAGGCCCAGTTGCTTGATACCGATTCCTAGCACGACTTACGACACTCTGAGACACATTCAGCCGTTTAGCTTCTTCTTCTTCTTGGGACAAACCTTCCTCTATCCAACGCACTATTGCTGCAGTTGCACTGCCTCTAATCGTCGTATCGGCATATTCTTTACTCGAATACACAAAATTATTGATAAAAGTAACAGAACAAAGTAAGAACAAGCTCTTCTGCACAACTGATATTTTACGATTTTTAAACAACCTTCCTGCAATTTTCGTGAAAGAGATAAGAGCATTGACAACGAACAATAAACATGCAAAAAATAATCGCTGTGAATACGGTATATTGATAATACAAAAAAAAAAATTTTTTAAATATGTTTACATATAAATTTCAGGATTTTAGCAATTATCCAGTTCAATTGTTGAGTAGAAATTATTAGGCAAAATAAATATTAATTTAAACCCTGATGGTTGTGTTTAATTTCAACACCCTGTATCTCGAAAATGGTGCATTTTAGAGGGTAAGTTAATAGAAACGTTTTTTCATATTTTTGGACGAGCTATCACGTCCTGAAGTCCTGCGCATATATTATAAAACACCCTGTATATATTTCAAATAAATATTTTAGAAAAATTTTAAAAAAGTTTGTAAAATATTGTGTGCCTATAGGGTATCATTTTGGGAAATATAATAATACAGAATTGATTTTGTATAGGGCTGAGCTGTTTTTTGATCATGTTAATAATTTTTTTGTAATATATAGTTTTTAGATAATTTAGAAGAGTATATATTTTTCATGGGTGTATTTAATATACAGTAGATTTATTGAAAACCGTATCTTCTGTAAATAATATAACACAAATGACTACTTTAACACAAATACTTTATAGCCCCGGATTACTTCTACTACCTTAACTTTAATTGATTTTAACATTGTTCCAGGCTTAGAAGACACTGTCTCAGTAAAACATATTTCAGATCACGAGTTAATAAAGTGCGATATAGATTTAAAACTTCATTGTATATATTTAATGAAATAAGAAATAACAAAAAATAAATTTAAGTGATTTTGTTACGATTTAGAATCTACCCTTAATTAATATACAAAATATAATATAATATCTAAACAACTCCTTACTACAATTATTATTTGATATACTTGTACCTCTTAGAAGAATTCGTATAACTAAGAAGTACGCTCCTTCGCTAGTAGATAATTTAACATTTTTCATGCATTTGACAAAGATTAAAATAAGAACAAAACTGCTTCTAATTTTGATTACTATGAACAACTCAGAAATTACGGCACTCTGGAATATAAAACCGAAAATAAGGCTTATATTCGTTGGTCATCAATACCGACTAAATGTCTATGAAGGCTTGAATAGGTTTGAAAAGATCTAAATAAGCTTAATATTAAAAAAATTAAACTGTCTTCTAGTTACGAAATAGTCAATTTATATAACGTATTATTGGATTCACTTAAAGCTTTGGTGATATCCCACTTCGGCCGTTCTCACTTCGGCCGTTTTGAAAAATCTACCTCTTTTTGTCCCATTTCGGCCGCTTGTCATTTTCATGCATTTCAGGTAAAACGGATACGCTGCATTTCGACCGGTCAATGTACAGTACAGGGTGGCAATTACGCTTTGGTTTGGCAATTTTGGGAGCAGAGTTAATTATAAAAAAAATATTGAAGTCGTTCAATTTAAGGCAAAAAATATTTGGAAATGTTTCATTACCGAAACAGATCTGAAATTGTGTTGCCACCACAATTAGCGGACAACTTTTAAGTTATAGAAGACGGTGTTGAAGACGAAATGTTAATATTTATTAACGTATGTGAATCTTTATTAAAATATGTGAAGTATTTTTAGGAGACGGAGCATTTAAGAGCTGTTCTTTATTATTTTTTCAATTGTACCTACACTATACATGCAGATGTAAAAGGTACCGAGGATAGTACTTCTATTATTCCAGTAATTTTACTCTTTTTCCGAATAAGGAAGAAAAAATCTATATAAAACTTTTTTCCTTGCTTGTTTCAGTTTAAAAATTTTTCACCGAAAGTTTAAATTGGATTTTGAAGTAGCTACCATAAATGCAATAAGATATGTATTTCCCAAAACTGCCATTCATGGATGCAATTTTCACTTTAATCAGGCTATATGGCACAAAGTTCAAGATTTAGGTTTAGTGTTATCATATCGTAATCAAAGTGAAGTACGAAATCATATTAGAATGTGTGCTGCTCTGGCTCATTTACCCGAAGAAAATATCGATGAGGGATGGCTGATTATAATGGAAACTTCACCTATGAATGATCTAGTTATTAAATCTAATGATTATTTTACTTCACAATGGTTAGATAATCCAATTATCCAAAATATTTGGATATGTTCGGGGCACAGACATCGGACTACAAACGCAGTGGAAGGATGGCATAGTAAATTAAATAAAAAAATTGGGAAAAGTCATCCAAACATTTTCGAGTTAATAACTGCATTGAAAGAGGAGGCTGCTTTAAATATAATTAAATTACAAAAAATAAATCTATATATACCAACTCCAAAAAGATTAAAAAAATACGTTGAAATTGATATTAGAATTAAAAAAACATTAAATGATTTAAGGGACAAAAATATTGACTTAAAAAATGCGTTGAACAAATTCATGTACATTACTAAATTTGAGTAAAATTGTGTTGTCATACTGTGTATTATCTATTGATTTTTTATTGTATCATTGGATTGTTTTTTCTAAAAAATATTGTAATATTGAATTTGAGTTTATTAAATTTGTTTTTCTTTTAACTGTTTGTATATTATGCTAAAAAATTAACAACTTTACAATATATAAACAAACGGCTGATATTATTTAAGTAATCTTAATCTAAATATCCCAAAAAGGTTGACCGGCCGAAATGTAACTTTTTTATTTAACGGCCGATATGGGAACGGCCTAAGTGGTACTAAACCTAAAACTTTACCACTGAACACATTTCAGGTTAATGTTTGGAATTTTCTATTTTTTAAATAATAATTCGAGAGACGCTAAAATGGTGATTCCCACCTTATCGAGACTAAGGCCTACAAGGGTAAACTCGTAGCGTAACAAAAACGAGAAATAATTTAACTTGGAACGAAAGACCGAAAGCTGATAGTAGTATTAGGCCGTTGAATTTTTTGATTTGAGAAGCATTGGCATTACTTAGGTTAAACCATGTGATGATTTTTACAAGCCTTGATTTAAAAACTTGTTCGAGCAATTTATCCAATAATAATTGGCCCCTTTAACTCTTAAGCCTGCTCATGTAAAATATTTGGGCTCCTTACTTCGCCTATTTATATTCTATTAATAAAGGACAGAAGGATGAGTATTGCAACTAAGTTAAAAGAAATAAATTGGCTTTCAGTTCAGAATTATGTTCAGTACATGAATGATATTTATTTATAAAATAAAAATGACATAGTACCATCGCATCAGATCTATTAGAAAAAATTCAATCTAATTCGCAATATTACAACTATAATACAAGAAGCCAATCTGACTTTCATGTACGGCAAGCCATTACTAAAAGTTCCCAAAATACAATTTATATTAAAGGTTTAAAAAATTTAATAGACTGCCTACAGAAATTAAAAAAAAAAAAAACAACAATAAATGTATTCAAATGTAACCTCAAACAATACTTGATAAATAAACAGAACGGATATACTTTCTTGTGATAATACTCTATAAACCTGCCCTTTTAAAGCATTTCCCTTAATTTGTTGTTATTTTACCCCTCGTTTTACCCGCATTTATTATAAATTATTTCTGTTGTAAGATCATGTACTTTATTTTAAAAAATTACTTGACGTTATATTAATACTACTTACTATGTTTAAATTAATAATAGTTTTGCGACGATAGGCTATAGCCATAAAACTATTTTTGTGTTAAAGTAGATCCATAGAGAGCCATAAAGAGCAATGTAATTATTTACAAAGGCCTTCTTTCAACATACAAATAAATGACAACTTTATAATTAAAATGAAAAACACAACAAAATACCTTGGTATCATAATTGATCAAAATTTGAAATGGGTTGATCACATTATGTCATTAAAATCTCAAGGTAAGAAGATTTATTAATTGAGGAAATTTATAACTAGGAGTTTACTAATTATTATTTACAATTCGCTGGTTGAATATGTAATTCAAAATCGTATAATTAAAATTATCTACAAAAAACCTCTCTTTTATATAATAAAAAAAGTGCTTTGTATAAGAACATTATATTATCTGTCTTGCTGTACCTTTATTTATGGAAAGCCTGAATTGAGATACACTATAAATTATTTGCAATAAATATCACAAGAAGTATACATTTTTAAATAATTTTACATTTAAGAGCCATTCACACATCACAGTTGACATCTTGATACTTGACAGGCACAGCCAAACATTATTCTGATTTTTGCCAAATAAAATGGCCGGTTAATTATTCTATGGGGTTGCGACAAAGAGCCAGTAAATTTGATAAAGGTGTTTTTGTAGCTAGGGGTGAAATAGTAGTACGCTTAAGTTATCACCACCATAAAAAAGTCATTTTTAAGAAACTGCTTATATATTTTTTATAAATTGGCAGTCTTGGCGACTAATTTCGAATAAAAATAGCCTCCAAAATGGCTATGGGTATAAGTATGAACGTCGCAATCCACCTTAGAAATTTCACCTTCACTATCAACAGCTGTTGTTTGACAAGTAGTTATGATGGACCGAAAATTCTAAAAATCAATAGAGTTCTAATTTAAAAGTAATTATTCAAGAAAATCAAAACCGCAAGTCAATCAGAACTTTCGTTCTAGAGTTATCGTGCCGGCATGCATACACACAGACGACCAGATGAATTTTTTTTGCATTTTCGGACTTAAAAGATGGGGGCTAGAAAATTTTTTCGTCTACACGAATGCAATACTGCGAGGCCACATAGGAAGGGCCTCAGTAATTTGGAACTTACCTAAGTTCTATGTGTTTATTATTAGTTACAGCTGGTGCAATTCATGTTGTTTTAAATTAATATCTTCTTTATTTTTGGTTTGTTTTTTGTTTGGTTTTTTTTTGTTTAATTTTTTTGTTTTTTTTTTTGTTTTCAAGAGTGCTCAACTGATCAATGCTTTTATTTAGTATAACTCACTCAGCTTTTTGTCACAACATTGAAAAATATGTAATTTTGAAATATTGTATGTATACTTTTATGATATGAAACTAAAAACATTAATATTAAGTTTTTTCAATTATCTAAATAACAACTCTAATTGATCGATTATACCAAAGATGTTTTATTTGTCTTGAAAAAGTATTTTTTTAGAATTTTCTTTCATTTATATTTTTATTAAAAAGAATTTCCCAAAAAAACGCAATATTATGTTTTGTAACCTTACCTTAGAAAAATGAACTATGTAGTTATCTACTTAGGTATAGAGAAGCTGTTTTATTTCATGCTTGAAAAATAAGAAGTTAATAACATACCAAATATATTTGTTGGTAGCTTGTAACCAAAAAATGGAATAGGCCACGGTCCAGGTACTTTCTCCAGCTGTTTGTTCCTTTTGTAAACTTTATAGCACCAGTCCAGGAATAAAATTAAAACTATCACTACTACTAAACCAATCAAAGCTGACATGTTTATTAAGACTCACTATACTATTAAAGACTACCGGATTTATCTTAACATTCGTTTTTATATGAAATTATTTTGGTACAGAGGCGTCACAAGAGGTAATCTAAAGTATTTTCGTATCTCTTTAATCTAAGATATTTTTAATCAATCTTGACCAAGTGTAAATAGTAATTACATTTTATGTATTAGTAAAAATAAATTTTTAACAATTTTCATCCAATTTTAGGACAATTTAAAACATTCAAAAACAGTAATTTTATTTTATTATGTCTTATTAAGAATGGAACACAGATTAATTATTAAAGATTTTCTAATTAAAAATAAGACAATTAAACGAAACATGCTTGATTATTATGTTTTTCGAAATACAGGGCTACATGGCTATAATTTTACTAAATTTGGTGTCATAAAACACACCTATCAGTAAATTAGTTAAATTAACTATGCCTGTGACATACGGCATAAGTAAGTAATATCTTCATCACTTCTAAATTTTACGCCACTGTTCAAAAGCTTATTTGGACTATAATTTTAATTTTGGATGGTTTTTAAATAAATCATGTATCCTTAATTATCAAATAAATTAATTAAATAAATAAATAATATCCACCTTTGAGTGTGAATATCTCAATTACTTTATGAGCTCCCAATAAGAGAATAAAATTTTTTGTTTGGTAGATTTTAGAAGATTTCTATAAATTAATAAAAAATCCCGATTACTTAAATAAAACTTTCTATTTAAATAATTTTGTTGCAAAAAATGATTGCTAAAAACGTAAGGGCCGGGCGATTATCAAAATAAATAATTAGTTTTCGATTAATCGATTACTTAAAAATAATTGATTTACGATTTATCGATTATTTTCGACTAATCGATTCTTTTCGATGAATCGATTCTTTTCGTTTAATCCAGGGGTCTCCAAACTTTCCAGCTTTAGGGCCTTACTGATTACTTCAGTAAGTTCCAAGGGCCAAAACTGTTTTAATTTTTCTGCAATTATCTATAATTTCTAGACTAGTCGCCCTTGTACGCTTGCTAAATTCGCTAGTTGAATTACTATTGTGTATTGTTACTACCGTGATACATGACGAAATCTGGTGGTCAAAAGCGGAAATAGGTAGTGGTAGTACCCTCTATCGCTAACAGATGGCGCTAGTAGTACTTTCGAAATCGCAGTAACAATTAAACAGTCGTGAACAACCTCAGAGGGTCGATAAAGTACTGGTCATGGAGGAAGGATAATTAAGAGTTGCCGTTTCTTTGTATAAATGTGGCAACATGTTTGCTATCAGCGCCAAATGGGAGGGATTTGTCCAACTATTTCTCAGTCGGTAATATAGATACGTGCATATTTTTTTTTATTTAAAAATTAGCGGGATTTTGTTTGTAGCTCTACTTTAATTAGTATAACTAAAATTTTGCATTTTTATTGGCATTTTTTACAACACAGATGTAACAAAATGCCAATCAAAATGTAAAATTTTATGACCCATAATTTTAGGAAGGGTAAAATATTGTAATATAAAATAATTGTATTATCTATTATATCATTAAAACTAATTTGTAATAAATTTTCTAAATAAACAATATTTTAATAAAACAACTAAAACTTTCTGTAAACTTGGGTAGGTAACAAAACACATGAAGGAGAACCATCCATATAATCTGAAACAGAAAAAATTGAAAGTAGTATTTTAACTTCATATCATTTTGAATCTTTTTTTTAGACATTGTCACAGTTTTATACTTTCTTATAATATTTTATAATTAATAATGGTAATCCCTCCATCTTTTTTAATTAGATGTAGTACTTTTAGTACTTAAAAAAAACAGATATCTGCGGGATCAAGCTTTGAGGTCCTTCTTTGATTCCCAAATTTTACTTTGCTGTTTTCTAATGATAAAATAGAGTTTTTTCTTCCTTGGAGCTAACCATTCACTGGTTTGATTTAAAAATCCAATATCTAATTATTGTTTTTTAGGCAATAATTATATTTCATTGGATGAAATTTTAATCGAATGTAACTTTCTTTTCACTGGTAATTTGTTTGACGGTATGATAATATTACTTTAGTATTACTCTTTACTGTTAATTTAGCTTTCAAGGGTACCAAAAGTAAAGCCAATTTACAGTCTTGTAACCTATAAATGGTTTTTCGCAAGTGGAATGATGAAGTTTATGCGGCATCATTTAGTTCCTTGCTTAATATCGGAAGGAAATAAAAAAATGTGTTCTTAAAATTTACAGCATAAATTGGACAGTAAATTGTACTATTTACCTTTATACAAACAACGCTATTACAATTAGATATTATGAATTTATTACGAACAGGACCTGCTAAACACATGTTAAAACATCAAAATATCTTTGTTTAATTTTAAATTTAACATGTTTAACTGAAACTAAAATTAAATAAAAGTAAAAGTACTTACCACGTTTTATTCAGCAACCATAACCATATTGTTTTGTTCAGTTTTGTTATTGTATCGGTTCGAACGGGTGACAATCCCAAAGTCAGATTTACATTGTATAAATAATTGATCAATTCATGTTTTTCAAGTAATTGTAGTATTTATATAAATATATAATTTTAAAACAATACTTACCGTGTATTACTTTTGTTATGAAGCGAAATATATTTGAATTATTCAATTATTCAGTGTACTTTAAATTTAAATATCATTTTATTATTGTAAAACGGACTGATATGCGCAGATGTGTTGCGCACTAACCTGTTGATATAACGCGCATATGTTATAAGCCCCCCTGGTACTGGTGTATTCCACTCACTTCGAGATAGTAATTATTGGAGTATAAAAAGGCTAGCAGTGCGACCGCAAGTCAGTCTATTTAGAGGAGGCAAAGGAAGCGAAACTGTCGTGAAATAAAGTAGAGCGTAACCGCGTTTAAAAGACATCTTCGAACCGACCAATTTCCTTACGTAATAGTATTTTGATTTAACTTGTTGTTTTTGTGTATGATTTACTAGTATGAAAATGAAGCTAAAAATAGATACCGAATACAAATATCAATGGAACTTTTAATATTTCAAAGAATATAACATTAAACGTCATTATGAAACGAAATATTTTTAAAATTACTCAAAATATACAGGAAGTATGCAGACAGAAGCTTTGAAGCTTGGATTAAAATCGCAGCCATCTTTGTTTACGAAAGTCAATATTAAACAAGAGGCTGCAACTCGGGACAGCTTTGGTGTGGCTCTTGAAATCGCAAATTTTGATAGTGTGGATATCAAGTTGGTGGCTCGAGCCCCGAAACTTTTTGTTTTTTTTTTGTTTTTTTTTGTTTTTTTTTTTGTTTTTTTTTTGTTTTTTTTTTGTTTTTTTTTTCCTAAAAAAAATGAAAAAATATTATTGTTTTATTATTTCACAGTCTTGGTAATTTAAAATGTTTAGTTTTTAAAAAGTATATACTTCATTATTCAATTCATAGTCGCGCATAACGAGGTTCATTCCTTTTTATGTTGGCCAGCAATTAAACCCCGGAAAAAGTGTCTTTTTGGAAATAATTTTTTTTATATTTAATTAAGACGCTATTAAAATTTCAGCGTGATTCAAACACTTTAAATCATATTTAAAAAAAAAATCAATTTTGGGGTTGATTTATTAATTATAAACCCTCTCAAAAGTGTCTGCCTAAATAACTAGTATTTTTAGAATTACCTAAACTTTCAATTGTTGTTTGTTGGCCTCTGAATCAAACACTTTTTTGGGTCATATTTTACGACCCCTTCCTATTATGCGCAGTACCTGGTGTCCCGGGGTGGGTCTAGCCAACACAGGTATATCTGCTTTTCCATCTATATGATTTCAAATTACAAAATTTCAAAGTGCATCAAACACTTAATGAAATGTGTGTTAACAGCTCTCCGGCTATTATTATCATGTTTGCTATGTATTTTTGATTGGGTAATGTAATAAAATTACATATTAATTAATACTTGCATTTTGATTATAAATTTAGTATTGTACAAGTAACATTGGTCCTTTCAAGCTAATAAATTAAGCGCTATGGAAAATACTAGAAGGAGCTGTAGAAATAATAAAGGTGTTCCTCCAAGGAGATATCCTGCTACGGTGGTGGAAGGCTGTAGAAATAAGTCCAATAACGAAGTAGCAACAACTTCCAAATCATTTGATAATGTTAGTCCTCCTGCGAACACACCTAGAATTTCTAAATCTGAAATTATACATTCTAGTAAACAACATAATAAATCTGTGCCTGTAATTCAAAAAGAAAAATCACGATTATCTGTATCAACAAAACCAAAATCTCAGTTAACCGTAGAATTACAATTTATTAAAAAGCAAAAGAAACTTGACGAAGAAGAGCTACGTATAATCAATCAAAAACGTGAGTAACTGATAAAATAAGCAGAAATTCAGAATTTGATATTGGAAGAGCAAGATAGTGATGATGAACTGCCAGTTTCAGAAAGGCTTTATGACTCCCCTGGGAAATTTAATAATTGGATTAATAATGCAGACAATGTGCCCTGTCTATACCCGTCCAATCTTTTGTGTCTCTGGAGGATGGTAGTCATAAAATTTATGAAGCGTCATCATCCCTTCATCCTAAAGCAATGTGCAAAAAAGCTGAAGAAGATAATAAAGCTAATAATGATTTGCTTCTTGATATAGCTAAGCAGTGTGTGCAGAACAGTAACATGACAAATCAACTACTATTACGTTCAAAATTAAAAGATCTGCTTTCTTTCACTGGTGACATCTATGAGTGGCCTGTTTTTATTTCTGAGTTTAAGCGGACCTCTGAGTGCTTTAGCCTTTCTGATAAAGAAAATTTGGTACGCTTAGACAGAGCTTTGAAGGGTAAGGCCAGATACACTGTTAAAGCCCCTCTTATTTCGGCAAATAATGTAAATAAAATTATTAAGGTACTGGAGATGAACTTTGGTCGTCGAGAGTGGATTGTCTTATCTCTATTACAGAAAGCGCGAAAACTAAACCCAATTAGAGAAGATAAACTCGACTCCAGTATTTTTTTTCCTGAACACTGTAACAAATATGGTTACTACTATAAAAAATATTGATTCTGATTGTTATCTGTTGAACTTTTATCTTCGCTGGTAGATAA